GGGCAGCGTGGCGAGCCTCTCCCGATTGGGACTGATTGGGCGTGAGCCTGAGGCAGGCATAGTGGGGTCAGGATGAGCAGGAGCGGCAGGGAGGAGCTGCCGGTGGCACTGGACTGCGGGTTTCGGCCCGATCCCTGCAGGCCATGCAGAGGGACCCCACCCGTGCATGAATTCGTGCATTGGGCCTCTAGTTTATTATAATCTGTGGTATCTTGCTACTAACAGATCTTAGATTTGTTGCTCACCATCACCATTTCAAGTTATCATAAAGTTGTAGAAAATACCTTAATTAAATATTTTCTATACTGTTGAATATAAAGTTTGATTTTGATTTTTAATTAAAATTCAGTGCCTCAGTCACACTAGCCACATTTCAAGGGCCTAACAGCTCAGCTGCTGGTGGCTACCACACTCACTAGTACAGATACAAACAGGCATTGCCATCATGGCAGGAAGTTCTATTGGATGTGCCTGCTCTGTAATATTAAAGTTGCCCTTCTTTAGCTTAATCTACTAAATTAATCTACTTAATTCTAGCCCTGGGCTAAGGAACCTAAATATTTAGTTGCCCTTTGGTCTTTGATGGGTTAAAGATGATCTGGTCTCCAGATATAACACATTTTGCCTTCTTATTCAGAAACTTTAGCCTCCCTTTTAAATAGAAACCTGATGAAAAGTTTCACTGTTATGAAAAAGTTTAAAAGTAAACCTTTCTAATGTCTGGAAAATAAAGTTCTAGGCAGAGGATAAATAAGTACAAAAACCCGAAGGCAGAAATGTACTTGACGTGTCTAAGAATGGCAAAGGTGAAGTAGAGTGAGCCAGGAAAAAAAGTCAGAGAGGTAACCAGGAACTAAAACACAATGGGCCACCTTTCTATTTTCTAACTAAAATTATTCTTCATAAACTAAGTTCTATAACAACAGATTCTCTACAGATGAATTAAGAAGAAACTATTCTCCCTAAGGGCAACAAATTAAACAATAAAAACTTTATATGTTGATAAATAAAACCTAATGGTTTTCAAAATAGCAAGAAAATACTTGAGGGTGGCAGGGGGGGTCAAGGAATTAAAATATACCAAAATGTACCCAAAATAAAATTTCTAGAAAGCTTAATACAACTGATCAACTATTGAATTTAAAAAGCATTTCCCACTATAAATCACAATGAAGATCTCCATCAGAACAATGTCATGTAAAATTAAAAGACCTAAAGTTTTGCACTTCGGTTTCAGAACCCACTTTTATAACTTGGATACATTAATTATAATCATAAAACATGAGTTCACTCCCTAAAAATCCAGTACCACAAAGCTAGATAAAACTTTCAATTTAAGGTGAGATTTATATTTTGTCTTGGGTTTCTTTTCATAGAAAAATGACCCTTTTATAAAAATGTATTTTTTTATTGCTTTCAGAGAGGAAGAAAGGAGAGAGAGAAACATAAATGAGAGGGAATCATTGACTTGACTGGCCTCTGCAAGCCCCTCACTGGGGACCGGGCTCGCAACCTGAGCACGAGCCCTTGACTGGAATAGAACCCAGGACCACTCTTTTAAAATAATTATGACCTGAATCTTTTACATAAAAACCAAGAGTACAGTAACAACAGTATCTTTTTTTAACCCCACTCAGAAATCACAAAGGAGATATTAAACTACTATTATTTCTACAGAATTCATAAAAAAATATTTTGTCGCCCTAACCGGTTTGGATCAGTGGCTAGAGCGTCAGCCTGCGGACTCAAGGGTCCCAGGTTCGATTCCGGTCAAGGGCATGTACCTTGGTTGCGGGCACATCCCCAGTGGGGAGGTGTGCAGGAGGCAGCTGATCAATGTTTCTCTCTCATCGATGTTTCTGGCTCTCTATCCCTCTCCCTTCCTCTCTGTGAAAAATCAATAAAATATATTTTAAAAAATATATATATTTTGTCATGTTTTTACCTTATTACATTTTCTCAATTAGATAAATCCTTCTCTGAGATTTTTTTCCCACTATCAGGTTGTAAATCAGTTCATATTTTTTAAATAAGTGTAGTACTCATGAATTAGGAAATACTGTTACCTAGATTCTTCAATTCACCATGCTGTCTAAAATGCTGAATTTCAATAACTGATTTGCTAATGAATAATTAATTTAAGTTCTAAATTTAAATGACTTCAATTACTTCAGAATTCCAAAAGATAGTTTAAGTACAGTAATTGACAATTGAGGGGGGAAAATTAAGTCGATTTTTAGGATCACTCCATTAAAATAAAAAAGATTCAAGATAAAAATTTTCTAAGCTCTTTATTCAACTAATTAAACAGTTGAACATTCATCCCTTTTAGAAGAAGGTATATAATACTTACTGTAGTCAAGGGATTTGGGGTCGGTATGGGAAGCAAGCCTGCACCAGGCATCAGACTTGTCATGGTTGGAGCAGGAACCAATAAAGAGAGGGCTTTCGATTCCTCTGGGATTTTACCTGCAGAGGCAAGTTTCAAACATTACAGAAAGCAGAAACACCACACAAACTTTACACTATGATTTTACAATTACCCTTGTACTTAAAAAATAATAATAATAAATGAATCTATCAGATCCATATAAAGAAATAAATTACAACTTAAGTCTTTCCTTTTATCCTGCTCTACTAGGAAAAATAAAAGTGAGCAAAATTTCAAAGACTAACAATCTCATTAATGGAATATTATTTTAAAAATTGAATAATGTAGACAATTATTTAACACTTTGAGCTATGGGTCACCTGTACTGGAAACTTAATGTTCATGAACCAAACGATATCAAGCATGGACGCTTTCCCAGGACGGTGTTTTCGCGGTGATCGAAAGTTGTGTTACACATGACAACCGTTCGTGTTGGCTGCATCACTAATAGCACACAGAACATCAGATACAGAAAAGAAGAACATTTTTTAAAGTTTAATCCCCAGAAATGGCAAATAACCAAATTAGTCAAAAAAAAGAAAAAGAAAAAACAAATATGTGCGAATTGAAATTTGTTTCTTACTGAGTGCCCCTATCCTGTTATTAAAACTACCTACTTGTGATGCAAACAATTTTGATAACCCTTCCAATAAATTCCATTTAACTTCAAGTAGACAGAAAAAAAAACAAAAACCTACTGCATGAAATCAGCTTCAATTTTAAAAAAAGCTTACACCCATTCAGTTAGTAAGTCACCTCCCAATGTCAGGAATGCTCAAAAGAACCCAGGTCCAAAGAATATGCCTTGGGAAACTGCTAAAACTTTATTTAGAATAACTAACAAAATAACTTCCCTAATCTCAGGAAACTTTTTAAATCATTGTATTTTAGAACCAATTTATGTATACTTATCTGAAGAGTAGCTGATCCCTAAATGTGTTGCTTATAAACATCTCCTAATAACACTGACATAACCTTAGATGCTAAGAAAAAAATTCCTGACTAAAACTAAAAATTTACTCTAACATAAGTCCATCAATTTGTCATATTTAATTACTGAATTCTAATCAATTAATTTTAACAAGGACTTCAACTTCCATGCATTTTTCCTGGTCCTCTCTCTTCCCCCAAAAAAATTTACTTCTAAAAAAGTTGACTACAGTGCCCTAGCCAGTTTTTCTCAGTTTATAGAGCATCGGCCTGAGGACTGAAGGGTCCCAGGTTCAATTCTGGTCAATGGCACATGCTAGGTTACAGGCTTGATCCCTGTTGGGTGCAGGAGGCAACCAAAGATGTGTTGTTGTTTTTTCTCTCTATCAACCCTTCCTTCCACTCTCTCTAAAAATTAATGAAAAAATATCCTCGGGTGAGGATTAACAATAAAAAAAAGTTGACTACATGTAGCTATTTTGGAAGAACTACTCATAATTAGTTAGCTACATATTTCCATTATGAGTTCAAAAATAATTTAAAACACAGTTTATAAATCATGCTAAACTGAAAATAGCACATGGAGTAAATTTTTCAAAAGCACCATGCTAGATTTTAGTGGTAAAAACTCTTATTTAAAGCAACCAGATATGCAGAGATAAACCTCTAAACAATACTATTTAAACATATCTCTAAATATGAATGGAATTCAAGATGGATTTTAAAACTTGCTTTTTAATAATGGTTACACCTTATTTACAGGAACAAAAAAATTGCATTAGCTTTAAAAAATGCCTACTTTTTTCTAATCTTTGAAACATCTAAGTCTATATTACTTTAATATACTAATTTCAAAAACAGCTATTTTATTAGTGTAAATTCTGCATAAGCATAAATTTTTTAACATGCATAAAGATAAATGAAAGGTAGGCCTTACTGAAAATATCAAATAACAATATTTTATATTTAATAGTTACTAGTATTAATACATATTATCTGTATACCCACAAATATACTATACTATTTATATTGCTATTAGGCATGTTTTGTTATAAATAGGAATTATTTTTAAAAGTTTGTAAAACCTAAATACATCTTGATAAGTCAACTTAAGTCCTATGGTTATAAACTCTGTGCTCTGCTACCCTAATGTTCCAATCTAAAGTCCCAATTTAATATATTATTTGTCAATTAAATAAGCCAAATTATCCATACAAGAGATGTAAAAAGATACACAAACAATGAGAGTATTCAACACAGGCCAAAAGTTGAATATTATAAAGCCTTTCACTGTGGGCTTCAAAAAAAGAGCATCAGTAGATTGACTCCCACTGCTTTTCACAGTAGTAAAAAACTATTATAAAGTCTAACTGTAAGCACACTAATTTTTTCTTATCCTAATTATTATTAAAGATACTTCAAGTTCCATTAGTTAATTTCCAAGACAGAATTTTATCAAACTTACCCTCTAAATACTATCAGCATATAAAAGTATAAAACAAATGAACATTTAGCATTTTTCCCAAATTATACTCAATGACAACTGAGAGAACAATGTTTCTCACTGTATGAAATTAATAGTCCTAAATCTCAGAATCCATTTAGAAGCTAGTAAACTGAGTATTTCTCAACAAAAAATTCAAGAAAACAGAGAAACACACACACATAAGTATTTAATAGCTTCTCAAATATCCATTCCCCTCACAGGCAACTAGGTCTTTATAAGGAAATGTTATTTTCTATAATGAATAACTATCATTAAAGTGAAAGTCTCTTTGTGTCCTCTACCCCAGATTGTTATAAGAAATATACTTATTTTCCATGATTCTGTATGGCTAAAATTCTAGCAGGGAGATGCAATCAGTTGATTTTTATAAGACATATACATTTGGGAGAAAAACTGCAAAATGTTGCACTAAGGTCAGAAAATGTTTCTAATAATCGTATCAGTGTTTCAAGAACAAATGTACCTGATCAGTCTATAAACACCAATTAACATTCCCACTGAGCCTCCTAATACTCACTATATCCTAATTTACTGTGAAAATTTATTTTATCTTAAGATTGAGCTCTGATCATCTCCCCATATATTTTGCAATGCAATGTTATGAATCCTTAGTGGAATACCATTTACAAAGAACTGGAAAACCAGCTCACAAGTTAAAGTGAAAGAGATTTAACAAAACAAAAACAAAAAAGGGACAAAATAAAGAAAAAGAAATTAAAGTAAAGTAAAACAATAAAAAACAGAGACAGGGCGTCCATCTTCTGCGGTTCAGACTCCGATCTCATTTCCCCAATGAAGGTTTCACTTGACGGCAGGTTTAGTGGCATGGCAAACAATGCCTAACTCAGGCAAGTGTCAGGCAAGTGTAACAGGTCTGCCTTGGCCAGTCTAGTCATCTAATAATGCACAAATATCACATAGAGAAAACATACAAAACCAAATTAATAGTCAAAATCCATCTACCAGAAAATGTGGACATAAAGTTATGACTGATGATTAGGTTGACAATCTTGTTATGTCTGACCTTTTCTTTTTTTTTCTAAGTGTTAACATTTATAAAAATAAATCTGAGATGCACACAACAACAAAAAGAGGTCATATTTGGACAAGCATAATGAAAGTATATTTATTTTGAAATGGCATGTTTCATTGACAATAGCTAATGCTTAATATGTATGAAACTATTACACATCAAACATTACATATACAGCTTAGAATCTCCTCACACAATAATGTCTATTTTTTTTAAACCCAGCAAATTGAAAGAAACTAAAATTTTTTTCTATGGTTTTCTCATTTCTTTCATAATGCTATTTCTATAACATCAAGGAAAGAATGCAATATGAAATAAATAGAACACTACTTACAGCACCACAGTACATCTCTCTTATAGAACTTACTCCATTGGAACTCCTTTGGTTTATTTCAACCTCACTTTGCTATCTTTTTTTGGTACAATATATATATACTTTATTACTCTGCTTGTAGTGCATAATCAGATCTTTAAAGGCTCTTCTTTAGGTTCTATAAATTTATCTCAGTTGTATTTTATTTAATGAAAAATGTGTGTCTGAATGTCTTCCTACTACCAATTCTTTATAGGCAAGTATTCTAAACCAGCGATCGCCAACCTTTCGGACCCCACGGACCACCAGTGGTCTGCAGACCACCGGTTGGCAACCACTGTTCTAAAACACGTAACTAAATTGAATAAAAATATTTAAATTTTCATGTTCAAAAAGGTGAAACTTTGCCTCAAAATGATATTAAAAATGCATTTATTCATCTCTATCAAATAAAACAAACAAAATAAGAAACCTATACCTGCCCATAACTTTGAACATTTATGACAAATTAGAGCCAGGGTTTCTCAAATACTATATTAAAAGGTTTTATGGGACTACAGTAAGGTTCCAACAAAGCAGCAACTGGTAAAATTCTTCCTTCTAATTCAGTAATGAGCCAACATGATACAATACCTGGTGCTGCTAATGACTCATTTTTATGATATAATTAACATTCCCATTTAATAAACCTTCTTTCCTGTGAAACTGGTATGAACTTGGTTTGCAGAACTAAACCATTACCAGCTCTTTCCTCACCTGGCTCTCCAATTTTAGGCTCACTATCTCCTTACAGTAGATAAGGACAGAGTTAGCAAATAATTAAATAACTTTAATACATTTTTATTCTCCCCACCCCACTCTAACCCCAAGGCATAGGAAAAATACTTTCAAATTTATCTGAAAAAATCCAGAATGTTTTATTCTGGGACTTCAAAAATAAAAGAATGATACTTGCAGTATCTGACTAATGTTTTTGACATCTCAGAATAGCATTTTGAAATAAGCATAAAACCTTAAAAGTATGGCAAATTGTTTAGTATACATTATTTTAATGTTGATCTGATATTTAAAAGAGGTTTTAAAATATTACATATGAAAGTACATTAAATTGTTTCAGGTAAAATTATTATGTTGCAAAATTACCACCATCCACCAGTAAAAATACGTTTTAAAGACATTTAAATAACCCAATTCTAAAATCCATGTATACATGCCATACTCAGTGCTCTAGAAAAAAGTTAATTACACACCAGAACTGTCAAATTCAGCACAGCTTATTATATGAGTGGCTCTGTAAATAGAAGTTACTGAAAAATAAATATTATTAATAATTTGCTCTTAAAGCAGGTTAAGTCATAAAATTTAACGAGTAACTATAAGGCTTCAGCCTTGTTCCCATCTTCAACAACTATTTCTTTGATGAAGGAAATTTACTTGTCATGATTTTTCTTCAATTACTCCTTCCCCCCCACAAAAAAAGCCAGAAGAAAAAAGTAAATTCCAGTTGCACAGCAACCTTAAGAGAATATTTTAAAGCTTCAATTACGAATGTTTTCTTATAACCATAAATATCACTTAACCCCAAATTGGCAAAATGTGCACATTTTTTATTGATGTAATATCACTAATATTGTATACACAGAGGCTACTCATTTACACATTTAAAATAATTTCCCCAAAACAACCTTTTATATATATTTTTTTTATTTCTGGAAGCTTTCTTTACAGCTTGCAAATTAACTATAGAAAGCCAAAGTAAACTGGAGAAGCCAAATAATTTATAAAATTGTTTAATGTTTAACTATTTTTTAAACTTACATTAAGTAACAAATTAACCATTTTAATGTTTTATTAGTAAAAGTGCTTTCCCTCTACAAATTTCATTCTCACATACATACATACACACATGCCAGAGCACTATCTACTTGCCAATGTCTAAGAAAGTCAAAGGTAATTAATAGACAGAACAGAGATTAAAATAGAAGAAAACATGTGAAGTACCAACCTTCTGCACAAGGAACAACTATCAGAGCTCTGTCAATAAAAACCGTGTTAGTTAGATGCTGGGCCACGCCAACACTTGATCGGTCACGAAACTTAACATAACATACTTTGGAAGAAAAAGCAAGAGGTGCGTTGCTGCAAGATAAAAAGAAAAACAATTAGACAAACATTTGGCTGGTTCTGTCGTTTTCACTAAAAAATTTTCTGAGAACTTTACAGAATCAAGACTTACAAAGTTTTATTGCTAAAGATCATTAAGACATCAAATAGCAAAACTTACTCTTTTAATGATGATCTGTCTGCAAAGACTAATGATAACTAAGCAGGCCATTAGCCTTACTTCTAAAAACTTTAAATTTGCCCTAGCTGGTATGGCTCAATGAATAGAGCATCAGCCTGCAAACTGAAGGGTCGCCAGGCCGGGCACATGCCTGGGTTGCAGGCTCGATCCCCGGTAGGGGGCAAGCAGGAGGCAGCCAATCAATGATTCTCTCTCATCATTGATGTTTCTATCTCTCTCTCCCTTCCTCTCTAAAATGAAAATAAAATAAAATAAAATAAAAACTTTAAATTTAAAAACTTGCCCTAACCGGTTTGGCTCAGTGGAGAGCGTCGGCCTGCGGACTCAAGGGTCCCAGGTTCGATGCCAGTCAAGGGTATGTACCTTGGTTGCGGGCACATCCTCAGTAGGGGGTGTGCAAGAAGCAGCTGATTGATGTTTCTCTCTCATCAATGTTTCTAACTCTCTATCCCTCTCCCTCTCTGTAAAAAAAATCAATAAATTTTTTAAAAAGTCTGAAAAAACTTTATATTAAATTATTAATCTGAGCAAAATGTGAAAACAACTGCTTAATCCAAAGATGTTGAACCACATAAATACCTTTATAAAATACCTTTATAAAAGCGCCAATCTGCAAGACTTAAAATTTTGTAACTACATCTAAGCCTTCCCTGGCACATTTAAATTTCTAAAAACTTCATTATCAATCTTAGAAACAATGAGATAACATGGAATTAAGGTCTTTTGTATACAGTAGACTACTTCAGGCTAGGCATTGTGATTTTCCAGACAAAAGATTTCACAAACAAAATGTTACATATTACTACATGCAAAAGAGCAAAGACTCTTACAAGTTCTACTAGATTTAGTTCAATCTAGGCAAGCTTATAGTAAAAAGGAAACAGCACAGATTAAAGCATTTTTTTCATAATATGAATCTTATCTTGTTAGTTTGCAAAATACACTATACTCATGGATGATCATTTTATCAACCTGCCCATAATTATGTTTAAGTGTTTAATTATTATCTTTAACAAGGAAAAAATTACCCCAACAAAATATATACCAGGTGTATCGGTTAATAATGCAGATTTTTTTCAATAGATGGAGTTACACATATGTTGATATACATGTGATTTGATATGTATGCTATTTTGTTGCATTGACAGCAAGCTTCAAAACTTCATAAGGTAAATTTGCTGAGAGTGTTAACATCATAGATATTTTTACACTTAAAAATGTCGAATTTTGTGCCAAAAAAAGAGTATTTGCGGGAAATTTTAATTCATTATTTTGAAGAAAAGTGCTGCTGAAAGTTATCATATACTTTGAGAAGCTTACGGTGATCATGCTCCATCTCAAGATATTTGTGAACACTGGTTTAAACGCTTTAAAAATGATGATTTCAATGTGAAAGACAAAGAACGTCCAGGTCAACCAAAAAAGTTTGAAGACCAACAATTACAAGCATTTTGGATGAAGATGCCTGTCAAACTCAAAAACAACTTGCAGAAAGGTTAAATGTTGCTCAGCAAATAATTTCCGATCATTTACAAGCAGTGGGAAAGATTTTAATGGAAGGAAAATGGGTGCCACATCAACTGAACAAAAGACAAATGGAAAACCACCACAAAGTCATCAGAAAATGTTGCTTCAAGGGCACGAAAGAAAGTCTTTTTTTGCATCCAACTGTGGCTGGCGGTGAAAAGTGGATTTATTTTGAGAATCCCAAATGCACAAACTCATGGATTGATCCAGGTCAACCATCTACATCACCTGCAAGGCCAAATCGCTTCGGAAAGAGCATTCTGACGGAACTAGGGATGAAAGTAAAACTCCATTTGTGGTGTTTTATGAGCTTCTAAAACCAGGTGAAACCATTAATACTGATCGCTACTGACAACAAATAATCAATTTGAACCACACTTTGATCATAAAATGACCAGAATGTGCCAGTAGACACGGCAAAGTAATTTTACTTTGATAACGCACCATCACACACTTTAAAACCAGTTAAAGACACGTTAAAAGATCTTGCCTGGGAAGTATTAACCCACCCGCCGGCTTCACCAGACCTTGCTCCTTCAGATTACCACTTGTTCCAATCGATGGCACACGCACTTTCTGAGCAGCACTTCACAACGTATGAAGAAGTGGAAAATTGGGTCTCTGAATGGTTTGCCTCAAAACAAGAAAAGTTCTATTGGGACGGTATCCACAAATTACCTGAAAGATGGGGGAAATGTGTAGCTAGTGATAGACATTACTTTGAATAAAGCACTTTTGATGTTTCTCTTCAAATTACCGTGTTTTCTTTGATTACGAAATCCGCATTATTACCTGGTACACCTGGTATACCTAGTATATAACATAAATGTACAATACTTTAAAACATGAAGGTTTTTCATACTCAAAAAGAAGAGATTATTTGAAAATATCAGATATCCCTTGTGCAATAACAGTAATTTAGTTATAAAATAGGTCAAGGACATTTAACATAATCCTAAATCTAGTAAATGGCAAAGATAGAACTTAAAAGTCTAATCATCTAATTCCAAATTTCAAGCAACCTTTACCATTCAATTAATCAATAATTTTAAAACAATCTTAACATACTATTTAATTAGTAAATATTCATCATTTTTTAAATGTAAAAAGTCTTTCAGATATAGCAACAAATCCATCTTGATACTGATTAAATATACATATTTATGCTGTTGATCAAAAACTGTGATAGCCCAGCTGGTGTGGCTCAGAGGTTGAGCAAGGATCTATGAACCAAGAGGTCACAGTTCAATTCCCGGTCATGGCACATGCCTGGGTTTCCGGCTCGATCCCCAGTGTGGAGTGTGCAGGAAGCAGCCAATCAATGATTCTCTCTCATCACTGATGTTTCCATCTCTTTCCATCTCTCTTCTTCTCAAATCAATAGAAATATTTTTAAAAATAATATAAAATGTGATAAAACATATTTGCACTTGGAACCTGAAACTATTCTTATTATTAACATAACTAGGCTAATTGAAGTTGCAGAAATAAAAATAGAGCTACCTCTTTCTCACCCCACCTAACTTAACTCACTCCTGCCTAATGCCATCCAATTCAGGTTTCAGGCCAGCCCACTCCCAATTCGCCCTCCTCCAGCCCCCAACTCAACAGCTAAGCCAATCACTTCATGTATTTGTCACTGAGGTTAAATACACACATCCACAATTAATTCCTTTACATTACCAAGTCTCCAACTTAGGTCTCTCTTAGCCTTAGACTCCCAGATCCAAGAGCCTGCTGAAATACTACACCTTGATAGTCACTGGGCCTACCCTTATTCAGTCTTAAAACTCATCCTTCTCCTTCCTCACCGGTCCTGCCCATTGTCCTGTACTTCACAACTCAGTTAAAGATACCACATTACCCAAATCAGAAATCTGGGAGTCACTAATGTGAACACCATTAGCACTATTCACCAAATATTTCCAAATCTGCTTCTGGCTACATGGTAACATTCCATTTCTCTGTTCCTTGAAGTTAAATGTAGCCATGCAAATTGCTTTGGCCAGTTAAATTCAAGCATAACTGCCATGTCACTATTCAGTAGTTTAAGGGCCATTGCTCTTTTCTTCTGCCACAGTGATCAACAACATTCAAGAGATGAGTGGCTGCCCTAACCGGTTTGGCTCAGTGGATATAGCGTCGGCCTGTGGACTGAAAGGTCCCAGGTGCGAGTCCAGTCAAGGTCATGTACCTTGGTTGCGGGCACATCCCCAATAGGGAGTGTGCAGGAGGCAGCTGATCAATGTTTCTCTCTCATCGATGTTTCTAACTCTCTATCCCTCTTCCTCTCTGTAAAAAAATCAATAAAATATAGTTTAAAAAAAAAAGAGAGAGATGAGTGGCTGATAAATCAGCTTCATCCCAGAAGGAGTGACCACAATGAGTTCCCCACCCTACCAGTTTAGTGTAAGAAATAATCTCTTTTTTTTTTTTGCTTTTTTTTTTATTGATTTCAGAGAGGAAGGGAGAGGGATAGATAGAAACATCAATGATGACAGAGAATCACCGATTAGCTGTCACCTGCACACCCCCCACTGAGGATCGAGCCCGCAGCCCAGGCATGTGCCCTTGGCGGGAATCAAACCCAGGACCCTTCAGTCTGCAAACTGACGCTCTATCCACTGAGCCAAGCTGGCCAGGGTAGTATAATCTTTCTTTAATCAAACTCCTGAGATTTGGGGATTGTTTCCCTCCTTGACCTTTCCCTCTTCTTCATACAATTGTTCATTAAATCCTGTGTCGCATTAATTCAGGCTTCATCATTTCTCATCTGTATTACTACAATGACTCCTAACCAATCATACTGCCTACATCTTAACTCCTAATTAATGGTCTTTCACAAAAGCTGCCAGTGATCATTCTAAACCCTAAATTTCATCATGTCACTCCACTGCTTAAATTTCTTCAAAGACACCCTCTGTTCTTGTTTATCATCTAAATGCGCCCAGAAATCCAGGCATAACATTACTTGTGGTTCCCAGCACACATCCAGAACATCTGGGCCATCTTTGTACATATTGTTCCATTTGTTTATGATGTCTCTGTAACTCCCTTTTTGAATGGTAATTGCACTTTTCTTGAAGCCTCAAGTTTTCTGGAAAGTCCTTTGAAGATATCGAAGTGATTAGATACCCATCTTTTTTTTTAAATATATTTTATTTATTTTTTACAGAGAGGAAGGGAGAGGAATAGAGAGTTAGAAACATCGATGAGAGAGAAGCATCGATCAGCTGCCTCCTGCACACTCCCCACTGGGGATGTGCCCGCAACCAAGGTACATCCCCTTGACCGGAACCGAACCTGGGACCCTCGAGTCCCCAGGCCG